TTTAAATCAGTTTGTTCATGATGTGCTTTGATATAATTTTCTTCATTTTAGTTTCTTGATACTTTGGATTTATAGTTTACAACAAATTTGGATGAGTTTTTCCAGATATCTGCAAATGTTTTCTGTTTTCCAGTCTCTTGAGTCTTTCAGGAATTCCAGCTTTATGTATATTTTACCACTTGAGGTTCTCACACAGCTTATTGATATTCTGTTAAATTTTTTTCAGTCTTTTTTTTCCCTCTTTCATTTTGGATATTTTCTGTTGCTTTATTCACTTTTTTCCATCTGCAAGTATTTAATTTACTGTGAATCTCACCCAGTGCATTTTCTGTCACCACCACACATTGTTTTATTGTATCTTTTTAGACCTTTTTTTTGTCTTAATATATTTATACTTTTCTCTGTCTTTTCCAGTATACAAAATACAGTTAGAATAACTGTTTAATACCCTGTCTTTTGACTATGTTATCTGTGTTACTTCTAAGTGTGTTCCTACTCACTGACTTTTCTAATTGTATGTTGTATTTTCCTGCTTTATTGCCCACCTGGTAATTTTTGATTGAAGGTCATATATTGTGAATATTATGTTGTTGAATAGAGCCCATGTTTTCCAAACAGCCTTTAAATATTTTTCAACTTTATTCTGGATCACAGTTAAGTTACTTGTAAACTAGTGGATCTTTTTAAGCCTTAATTTTAAACTTTGTTAGGCAGACCATGTACCCCTTAACTTGGACGCAGTTTTGCCTATACTGTTGAGGCAATACTCTTGGGTTCTCTGTACCTTTATGTGTCTCAGGGCTTCTTTTCCCCCAGTTTTTGGTGGGAACATGATATATTTCCAGTCTACTCTAAGCTCACAGAACTGTTCTATTTCCTTCCAGTAGTAGTTTCCCCAGCCTAAATTTTTTCCTAGCATGACATCTACTGATGATCTGTTTTTCAAAGGGGCACCCTGTACTCCGTAGCAGGCATCTCTCTCCAGCTCCTTTTCATTTTGTAGCTGTAGGTCTGATTTACTGAGCACTTTTGACTCTTCCTGAATCCTCAAATCTGTCTTTAGCTCAGGAAGACTGCTGGATCTGTTTAGCTTTCTCTTCCTGAGTTGTAACCAGGAACTTTTCTAAGCAATAAGCTGGTGTGGTGTATGGAGTTCATTTCATTTCTTTTATTTTTTTTTAAGGGTGATTTTTTTTCAATGTTTGGACATCATTGTTTTTAAAAGTATATTTTTGTTATTTAATCCCAGTGAGTGGGTAAATCTAGTCTGCAATACTCCATCTTGACTGGAATTGAAAGTCCCCTTGAAGTTCCTTATACAGTGATAAGTTATATTATGTACAAAAGAACTGCTCTTTTCTAGATAGGAGATGTTTTATATATATATATGTATGCACGCGCACACACACACATATATGTATTTAGATATGGCAACATAAAACTATCTCTTTAGCTGTGGCAGATAGTTTATATTAGATTGTGTAGAACCTTTTATAATTGTTGGACTTACCTAGAACTTAGGATTTAAGACTTAGTAAAGAGTAGTAAACAAGTGTCTATGCTTATGGATATCTGCAAGTATCCATGCTCTGAATTTGTATATCCAAATAAGTGAACAACCATCTTAATAAAACTGGGGCCATAAGATCCTGAGTCTAGTAGAAGAATAGTATAGTTCTTTTTAAACCAGAAACCAAGGAATAAACCTAACAAAGCACATACAAAAATAGAGAAAGAATATAGGAAGAATTTTATTGCCAAAATGAGAGCTTGGCCTGAAGCTCTGTGGGAGAGCACTTGCTTTGAACACAGATGGCCCTGGGTTCAGTCTTTCCTACCCCACAGCAAAACCCAAAATAAAGTATTAGCAAGTTAAAGTCTAGTATAGTAGTACTGCACTATCATGCTAGTTAACATTTTTTTGTGACAAGCTGGCATTTTTGGTAGTATATTGATTCTTGTTTGGTTCTGATCATTAACACACAAAGAGAGGAACATTATCTTCCTTTTACAGAAAGGGAAATTGAATTTTAGAGTTGTAAAATTGCCAAACTCACTTAGGTATAGAGGGAATCGTTAAGATTTCAATCTAAATAGCATGGCTCCAGCATTGAACTTTTAACTGTAGTATAACTTCCTAGAAGCAGTTTTATCTTGAGAATGTAAATATGATTTAATATAATGAAATGTTTGGTAATTTGCTGTTGATAGGATTGTAAATACAGAAAACTCGGGAGAATTGTGAAATTTCTTAAAATTAATGCAACTTTTTAAAAATCTCAGGCAAATATTAAGCATATGGAAGCTAGTCACTTCTGGAATGGGGAGAAGTAATTTTAATTCTGTGAAACAAAATAGTATAAAATAAATTAGGAAGAATAAAAGGATATTTTTAACCAGAAAATAGAGGAGCTGTATGTAAGTAAGCTAAAGGTCTTCAGTAGTATAAGACTTGGGGCTGGGGAATTTAGCTCAGTGGCATAAGCACCTGCCTTGCAAGCAGGCAGTTGTGAGTTTGATCCTTGGTACCGATAAAAACGAAAAAAAGAAAAAAAAATAGTATAAGACTTGAATAAATGGAATGGACTGCTCTTTTCTAGATAGGAGATGTCAAAATTATAGAAATGTCATTAAAGTGGCATTGTTCTCTTATGTTACATTTACTGTACATCCTTCTAAGTACAAGTAGCATAGAATTCATGGAGATGAGAAGCATGAAACTGTTTGGTGCCAGTTTCCTAAAAGCACTTCACAGAATCCATTCCTGGGCAGAGTGGAGTCCAGAGACAGGGAAGCCCACTGTGGGCCTGTGTTCTGCTATAGACTGTTGTGTCCAAGATTCCTCCCTGAGTGGTGTTGAAAAGCTGAGGCAGAAAGTGGTTTAAGTAAGGAAATGAGCAATGATATGAAATGTTTTTCAGGCTGTTAGAATAAATTTGAAAACAGTATCCTCTATGTACTTTCATAGAGGTCAGTTTTAGTCTTTTATCCCCTCTGAAGTACTGAATCAGAATCTGGTTTCAATACAGACACAGGAAAACTCAGAGGTAGTGATTTTGTGAACCCAAAGTAGAAGGAAAATGAAGAGAAAATGCAGTTACTGTACTTCGGAATCTATTTTCACTTAGGTTCTTATATTGAGATGATCACTGGATATGTCTGACAGACAAAAATAAGCAAGTATAGTACTATTGGAATTAGTGATGGTCAAAATGATAAAAATAGTTTCCTGAGGGTCAACGAAGAAAGTAACTCAGGTATAGGCACTACACCTTGGAGGTGAGAAGAGAGATGGAATCATCAGTGGTGTAAGGTGGGAGACCAGGATAGTGTAGTACCCTGCATCTAATATCAAAGATTGTATGTTATGTTGTGTTGTGAACATAATCACAGGAAAAATAAAAATGTTGATGGTTCTTGAGAATGCAGAGGGAATGATTGAGATTGCCATAAATGAAGATTGCAATAATATTTATTCATACCAAATAGTTTACATATGTGTTGCTGAACTGAGTGCATACATCAAATAGTTTGAAATTTAAGGATTGGTAACTAAAACACTGAATGCTTATGAATTCAGTTTTAATCTATTAGGACACGGCCCTAGAGATTTTTTTTTTAAATTTTATTTAAAGAGAAAAAGAAAAAAAAAAAAAAAACAAACAAAACAGAAAAGTGTACAAGTAATACAGAATTTCAAAAAAATAAACAGTCAGAAATCACTAGTTAATAGATTACATATTGTCATCTTAGAAATAGTTGTTCAAGTTACAAAATTAAAGCATACAAAGTGGACATTCAAACTGTGAGACTGCCAACAGTTCTGTTCAATGATCCAACAAAAACTCAGTAATATGGTTATATATCTTATACACTTAAATATACATGCAGTTGTGTCCTTTAGAGCACTTTCTTTTCCTGTCTTTTTTATAATAACAATTACATATTTTGGGTTTTATTACTCCCATAGTTCTTATTACTTTTTTTTGAAGAGAATAAAACTAAATGTGACAAAACAGAGTCAGTCAAATCAAAAGGATGGACATAGTACATGATGTAAAAACAGAATACAAGGTGATCAACAATGGTTACCATAATGCCTCTTGTGGCCCTACAGATTTTGAATATCTTGGAGACCAGTAAGCCTTTTCTTTATAGGGCTAGAGAGTAAGTATTTCAGATTTTATAGACCATATCGGTCTCTGTAACAGCTACTAACCTGGCCTTAGCATGTAACTAGTATTTGATGGTGTGTAAACAAGTCAGGATGACAGTGTTTCAATAAAGTCCTATTGAAACAGCTGATAGGCTATCTAGTATGTGTACCCTTGAAAAGGAGCCTCTAGTTTTTGGTAGTTTTTTGTATTATTCATTTGTTCTGTTTATTTTAACATGTAAATTAACATTGACGAATGTCTTTCTGATAAAAGTTACTGAAACTTTATAATAATATTGAAGCTTTCAAAATTAGCAGGAATTATTCTGTTGATCCTATAAACAGTAATAAGCTTGACTAAGCATTCCCCCTTCATCCATTGTAAGTATATTTGCTCTTCATATCTCAAAACAGACAGTCATATATATAGGACATAATGATGTTTGGTCGACATTTGGCTACATATGTAATCGTGGTCCCATGAGATTTTAGTGAAACTGAAAAATTCCTGTCACCCGGTATTTTTACTGTACCTTTCCTATAATTTGACATGTAAGTACTTGCCAATATGTTATAGTTTTCCTATGGAATTTAGTCCATAACATGCTGTATATGTTTGTAGTCTAAAAACAGTGGGGTATCCAACTTAGCCTGAGTGTATAGAGTAGTAGGCTATACCATCTAGATTTATGTAAGTACAGTCTATCACCTAATGATCTGTTTCTCAGACAGTATCCCAGTGCTAAGTGACAAATGATTATAATGAGTTTAATGTGGCTTAAGTTGATTGGTTGCCTTTAATTATTTTATCTATTTTAATAACAATTTGCTCTTTCTTTTTCAGTCTCGAAGAAATCTTTGTGAAGAGGCTTTGTTAAAAATTAAAGGTGTCATTAGCTTTACTTTTCAAATGGCCGTTCAGAGATGTGTGGTGCGCATTCGTTCAGATTTGAAAGCAGAGGTTAGTATTTTTAATATCTGAAAATGCTTGAGGTTACAGGCAAACAAATCAGTGTTCAAAACTGTTCCTTTTCATTCTGGCCCAGGCGTTGGCATCAGCAATAGCATCAACCAAGGTCATGAAAGCTCAGCAAGTTGTGAAAAGTGAAAGTGGCGAAGAGGTAAGAGTTTCAGTTCATTTTTTTTTTTTTTCTTTTTCCTTTTTATCGGTACCGGGGATTGAACTCACGACAACCTGCTTGCAAGGCAGGTGCTTATGCCACTGAGCTAAATCCCCAGCCCCTCAGTTCATTTTTTAAATACTTAATTTTAGACTCTGATTATTTTTGTGGCTAGCAGACTGCTAATATTTGTAGGTCCATAGTTAACAAATGTATAATAAATGTGATGATCTTGGTTAATGCCTGTTTTAGAAATATTGAAGTGTTTTGTGGATTTCACTGTCCACTGTTGTGAAGAAAACTTCTTTTAACTCATTGTAGATGCCTTACTGATTTTAAATGGAAATAAAAGTTTCCTTGCATTGATCTTTTAAAAAGTGTTTTGCCCTACCTTAAATAGTCTTGGCAATCCAGAAAATAAATGTGCAACTGTTGGACTAGTACCTATGGAAAAATTCCTGGCTGTTGCTATTCTTTCCAATAGTTTGTGATTGCGAATATCAGTTTATGTACCTTAAACTCATTTGGGTTCTGTGGGTCCTTGGGGGCCCAAAGGGTCCCAACCTTTGGCTTAGTTATTTTTAGATAGACAAAGGTTGTTCATTTACTCTTTGAACCTGTGCAGATCAGCATTTGTAATTCTTCCATTTTTACATAGTATTCCATTTTTACATAGTATTCCTCCTGCTATCACATAGGAGGAAAATTTCAGGAGAGCTAGTGCTTCTGAGAAAAATAAATATGGAGCCAAGTGTGTGCCACAAACTTGATATCCCAGCACTGTGACACCCTGGGCAGAAGGACTACAAGTTTAGGCCTAGCCTGGACTACTTAATGACTTACGTAAGACCATGTCTTAAAAAATAAAAATGGCTGGGGATGTAGTTCAATGTGAAGTTCCTGCACAACAAAAACAAGTAAATAAACAGACAAGGTAATCAGAATGAGGAATAAAGTTGACCATTAAGACAGCTAGGTGTGGTGGTGCACACCTGTAATCCCAATACTTGGGAGGCTGAAGCAGGAGGATCACAAGTTTGAGGCCAGCCTGGCTACATATTTTTAAAGACCAGCCTGAACTAGCCCTGGCTCGAACAAAGAAACAAAGCTCAACACCCCCCGCAAAGAAACACAACAAAAACTTGACACATATACATGTGCATTACATCACATTAAGTTGATTTTGTAATAGCTTTTAATGTGCTTTCTGTATCAGATGCTGGTCCCGTTCCAGGATACTCCTGTGGAAGTAGAGGAGAACACAGAGCTGCCTGATTACTTGCCTGAAGATGAGAGCCCCACAAAGGAGCAGGACAGAGCAGTGTCCCGGGTTGGCTCCCACCCTGAAGGTGGCGCTAGCTGGCTGAGCACCGCTGCAAACTTTCTATCCCGATCATTTTACTGGTGACTTCGTCTTCAGTTTGGGGCTCAAGGACTGTGTGAACCAACAAGGGGCCAGTGTTCCATTGTGGTGAACTGTCAGGTGCAATTTGCAATAAGTTATCATGAAAAGTTTTTAGATTATATGATTGTGTATGCTGCATTTTACATTTTCTTGGACATTTTACTCCACTGAGTGGTAAAAAGAACACAGGTTATAGGTGGAATTTATTTGCTTGGGAAAGTATTTTGGTTTTGTTTTCCTTTATTTGTGTCACTTTAAAGAAAAAAAAGTGGGTCCACTGTTAAACCAAACATGTATGTGCAGCTTTACATTTTATTTTATATCAAGCACGAGATTAGGAAAACTCATTTCTCCTCAAGCCTCAGGATCTATCTGAAGAGAAGTTTTTTTGTAGTTCAATTTGTGCATGAATTACTGAACAGTTTTCTCTGCTTTTCTTCATGAACAAATACATGCTTTGGTACTTGTCACTGAAAGTTGAAAATGTTTTTGGTTTTTCCCAAAAGAGTTTATTCCCTTTTGTGCCTTTTTTATTTTGCCAACCATGTTTATAGAAAGGATGTTACTAATGACAATTTGCAAACAATTTATTCATTGAAACATAGTAGTTATCTAAAAATACAACTCAATAAAAATTTTGCAATCTCATTATTTTAATAAGAATAATGCAAAATCAGTCAGAAGAAGGAAACATGTTGTATTAAAGTATTTTTTGACCTATTTGGATATGACCAAATGTGGTTCTAATTGTTTACTGTTTATGTTAGCTCATAAGATGAGGTCCACCATGATATTGTAATTATAAATGGTCTCTTGGCCTTACATTGAGATTACAGAACATTCCCTGCTAGAGGGAAAAAAGAGTAGTAAAGAACTGACGAACTTGAAAAAAGGAAAACAAAAACTGAATGCCTATAATGCCATAGTGCCACTCTGGTAGAATCTAACTTTAAAAGACGAATTGCCTGGCTGAGACCTACTCAGTAGGTATTTCTTTGTATTGCCTTTGTGAACATAATGAAAATGCTGCAGTCATATTGGAGGAAAAAAGCAACCCAATTTATTGCTTATAAAGAAATAAAGCCAGCATTGATCACTTAATCTTGTTTCTCATGTCTAGCCCAAAGAAAAGAACTCCAGTGAAGGTAAGGTAAATAAATATACACAGATAGATGGTATCTTTTGGTAGGTAAGAGCTAATTACATCTATGTAATGCATTATTAAAGCTCTAAAATACTTGGCAATTTGTTTTAGAAGTCCAGCCATATCCAGATATGTTGTAATGTTAACATGATTAAAAACTAATAGAAATTGAAGTCCATTTTCATCACCTTGTAGAGCTGCTATTTTACTACTCAGAGAATGTGAAAAAAATTTGGACCCTGGAGGGTTTCCTTATGTTTTCATCATTTCTCTTTTAGAGAAAATTAAAAGCATCCAGTATTACTGGAGAAAAGTAATTGTAAAATACTACCACCAAAAAGAGTCTAGTGTTTGCTAACATTGGGTTATTCTGGAGGGAGAGGAAGAGGTATTGAGGGTATTGAGAACAATAATTTTTCATGTGTCTGGTCTCTGATTCAAGTAATACGCACAAACAGAAAATACAGGCTTCCAGGGCACATATTGCGTTAATGCATACTACTACTTGCTGCCAGAACCAGATGTGTTGAAAGAAAGCAAACAAAACCACCTCCTTTCTACAGCCATTAAAACAAAGTTTACTTTTCTGTTTTAACAAGTTATTTTATTTTGCATTGCCACACATCTGCTTATTTAATTTGGAAGTAATGGTTCAGTATAAGTAGATATTTCAGCTTGATGTTTATGTGTTTTAAGTGTTCTTTTATTCCAGGTCTTATAGAGCAGTTAAGGCAAATGTAATGACGTTTTTTGAAATATATTGTACAGTAATAAAAGGCAACATAATTAAAATTGAGTGAATGTGACATTCTTGTCCTTATATAAGCATTTATTTATTTGCCATCAGTGCTGGGGATTAAATCTCATGCTAGACAAGTGCTATCATAGTGAGCTATACTCTCTGCCCACTGATTACTCTTAAGTCTATTTGTATACACACTGCTTGGTACATTCTCCCAGTTCTTTATCCCTGTATTACCTGACTCATTTCTGCCTTTTATTCACCTTCTTTCCCACACCATATGTGCCTCTCCTAGGGCTGGGAAGGTTGCTTCTGGTCATGTACTGATTGTAGCACTTATCACATTATGTTAAAATTTGCATATTGACTAGTGTCTCTCCCTTACTAAGTTCTTTGAGAAGAGAATGAGTTTTTTAAGTCTTTATATTAACATTTTAACTCTACTTGGCCAATAATAGAAGGTCAAATTTGGTCAAAAGAATGAACAAAAAATTCTTTAGAAAACTACAAATGAACATACTTACTCATTTATTATTTTAAAAATGCTTCCATTAATTTTGATTTGAGATTTGTTTCTTTGATGTGAAAAGGGGTACATACTACATTGAATAAAGTTAGGATTAACTCATTCTATGTGTATGTGTGTGCTAGTAGAGGTTGAACCGTGGGCCTTACACATGCTAGGCAAGCATTTTTATGAACTTCATTCCAGTCCTTTAAAAAGTATCTTTTTAGATACCATTTCACTGAGTTGCCCAGCTGACTGAACTTGGGATCCTCCTGCTTCAGTTTTCTGAGTACCTGGAATTACGGTATGTACCCTGTCATCCTTCATTTTATCATCATTCTTAAAGAATTGATACAAGAGGATGTTCTATAGATGTAAAATAGTTTTTTATTTCTTGTGTTATACTATGTGATGCTATACAATAATTTGATCTCTGAACTTCTACTTGGCATCACTGTTAGAATTCAGTAACATGAGTGCTTTGAAAACAAAGCTTACCATCATGTAGTGGAATTATTGCTACTAGCTATTTGACATGATTTTCTTATCCTTGATTCTCATGCACTATAGTTTGTAATCATGCTCTAACTAGATTAACTCAGAGGGTTTTTTAAAAAATTTGTTCATATATGCTGTTACTTAAATTTTCTTCATTGAACAATTCATCTGTTCTAAGATTTCAGTTATTTTTGTTTAGGTAACCTCTAACTCTCCTGTCACCTTTGACAACTCTTCTTTCCTTTGCATTATCTACCAAATGTAAAGTCTGAAGTTTTATGTCTATTAGATGCAGTCTCAATGCATTTAAAAGCTAATTATGTGCCAAGGACTTTTATAATTGTTCTACAAATATTTACAAATTCTTAGCAAATATTTGACATCAGTATTCTGTGATTTATAAAGACTTAGATCTAAAGTATCCCCCAGAAGTCTCATGTTCTCAGAGGTAAGACCTGGTCAGAGGGAGCATGACCTAGATGTCTGTCTGTCTGTCTGTCTTTTGACAGGATCTCACTTTGTAATTTAGTCTCAGTGTAAATTTAGGTAGCCCAGGCTGGCCTTGAACTCCCAGTGATCCTCCTGCCTTGGTCTCCCAAGTGCTAGGGTTACAGGTGTCAGCTGGGTGGGTGTATTTTAGTCTGTAGGTCCTCCATGGTGTTTCCTGGCTGCCATGTGGTGGGCAGCTTTCCTCCAACATCCTTTTATAGTATGTTTCTACCTTGGAGCCTGTGACCATGGATTGAATTCTTTGACCATGGACTGAATTCTTTGAAAACCATGAGCCAAAATAGACCTCTCCTTTAAGTTGGAGGTGTTCAGTGTTTTGGCCTAGCAGTAGAAAAGTGCCTAATACAAAAATTTGGTACCAGGAGTAGAATTGTTGGGGTGACTATATCCTTACCTGGTGGTTTAGAAGCCATTGGAAATGGTTTGTGGGAGGAGTTAGGAAAGGTTAGAGATGCTGGTTAGAAGAGCCTTAAGATTCTGTAAGTAGAAGTTGATAGGTATTGCTGGTGGGAGCTCAGAAGAGTACAATGCTGACAGGAATATGAAAAGTAAAAGTGAGACTCATGAAGTTTTAGTTGGGAACACAGACTCTATCAGAAACTATACTAGAGGTCAGGTGTATTTAATTTTGTTAAAGAACTTGACTACATATTGCCCAGACCCCAAGAGTTTGCAGGAAACTAAGATTAAAGTTGGTGAGCAAATTGATTTGGGGGAGGAAATTTCAAGTCAGCACACTGTTCAGGTTGTGGTATGGATACTTCTAGCCAGGTGTACAGTGTGAATTGAGAAGTGATTTGGAAAATTTGTAGCCTGGCCAGAAAGGAAGCACCTGTAAAACTGAAGCATAGGAGAGCGTGGTTGTTAAAACAATGGACATTAAAAAAAAAAAAAAAAAAAGCCAAGTAATTTGCATCAGGACAATATGAAAGATGTCTTGAGTGTATGTGATGGACCATCAAAGTCCCACCCATCACAGGCTCAAAATTGCAAAATTGAAAGATTGCTTTGAGAAGAACCTCAGGGTGCCTTTCAGTTGGCCTTAAGTTTCAGAGGAGACTTTTTAAAGAGAAAAAACAAAATTTCAGAACAAGATAGAGAGTAAAAATTGTTAGTACACAGTGTATGGTTATCTTTAGTTACTCTGAGTGCAAAATGTCTGCATTTATTTGCCCAACCAATATTAGCACAAACCATTATTTTGAATGAACTAAGAGAAATTAGGATAACTATCGTACATATCCACACACATTTCTTTCAGCTTCTCACACTAGGGTGATCTTTACACATGCAAGTCTGATTTATTTCACTTATGAGTATGGTCTTCAGCTGCATCTGTTTACCTGCAGAAACCTCAAGTTTGTCCTTTATGTCTGAGTGGTAATCCATTGTATAAAAACACCACAACTTTTTTATCCATTCTTTGGTTGACGGGCATTTAGGTTGTTCCAAGATAGAGTTATTACAAATTGTGCTGCTGTAAACATGGATACACATGCATAGCTGTGGTATGATGTTTTTAATTCTTCTGGGAAGATATACAGAAGAGTAGGTAATAGCTGGATCAAATGGGACCTCCAATTCTAATTTTTTGAGGAATCTTTACACTGATTTCCTCAGTGGTTGTGCCAGTCTGCAATTCCATCAACAGTGGAGAAGGGTTCCTTTTCCCTCGCAGCCTTCCAGGATTTGTTATTGGTTGATTTTGTGATACTAGCCATTCTTTCTAGGGTGAGATGGAATCTCAGTGTTGTCTTAATTTGTATCTCTCAAATGAGCAGTGTTGTTAAACATTTTTCGTATATTTATTTGCTGTTTGTATTTCTTCATCTGAGAAGTGTGCATTAATCTCCTTTTATGTTGTTCTTTTGTGTAATTGCTCCAGTTAAAATTTCCAGGACTATGTTGGATAAGAGTGGAGACAGTGGACATTCTTGTCTTGTTCCTGATTTTAGAAAGATTTCAGTGTTTTTCCACTTGGTATGTTGTTGACTATTGGTTTGTCATAGATAGCTTTTATCTGATTGTGATAAAGACCATGTGTTCCAATTCTCTGTAGAATGTTTTTCACTAATCATTGTTCAACTTTGTCAAATGCTCTTTCTACATCTATTGAGATGGTCATATGATTTTTGTCCTTAGCTCTGCTAATATATATTTTATTGATTTACATATGTTGAACCATCCTTGCATCCCTAGGATGAATTCCACCTAGTCATGGTGCAAAATATTCATGGCTGTATTCTGTTTGCCAGTATCTTATTGAGGACTTTGACATCTGTGTTCATTAGGAAAATTGACCTGTAATTCTCTTTTTTAGTTAGGTCTTTCTCCAATTTTGGTTTCAGGGTAATGCTTGCTTCCAGTAATGAATTTGGGAGTATCGCTTCCTTTTCAATTTTGTTAAAGATTTTGAGAAGTAGAGATGTTATATTTTCTCTAAATTTCTTGGAGAATTCAGCAGTGAATCTGTTAGGGGTTGGGCTTTTCTTTTGTTGGTAGGTTTTTTAACTATGTCTTTGATTTCATTGATTGATACTGGTTTATTTAGGATTCTTATACCTTCTTAAGTTACTTTTGATGATTCATATATATACTTTCGATGATTCTGTCCATATCTTTTGCATTTTCCATCTTATTATAATACAAGTTTTCAAAATGTGTATAGATGATCTTTTGAATTTCTGCAGGGTCCATTGTGATTTCATCCTTTTCATTCAAGTTGTGTAGATTTGAGTATTTTCTCTTCTTCCCCACCCCCCACCCCTTTTTTGAGAAGGTTGGATAAGGGTTTGTTGATTTTATTTAATCTTTCAAAAAACCAACTTTTTAGTTCATTGATTCTTAGTATTATTTTTTTTTCCTTAGTATCCAGTGTGTTAATTTCTGCTCTGAACTGTATAATTTCCTCCCACGTATGAGCTTTTGGTTTAGCCTGTTCTTTTTCTAGAAGTTTGAGGTTCACTATTATGTTATATGTTTGCTCTGTTTTCCTGCTATGGGTGTTTACTGATACAAATTTCCCTCTTACAACTGCTTTCATTGTGTCCTATAAGTTTTGGTATGTTGTATTGTCATTATTCAACTGTAAAAACTGTCTAATTTCTTCTTTATTTTCATCTGTGACCCATTGGTTGTTCAGTAGGGTGCTATTTAATTTTCATGTGTTTATGAAGTTTTTGTGGTTTCTTTTGCCATGGATTTCCAATTTCATTTCACTATGGTCTGATAATATATGTGGGATAATTTCAGTTCCTTTGAATTTATTTAAGCATGTTCTATGAGCTATTATGTGATCTATTTTGGAAAAGGTTCTATGTGCAGTTGAAAAGAATATGTATTCTGGTGTTGAGGGTTGGGAATACTCCCTGGACATCTACTAAATCCATTTGTTCAGAACTTTGGTTCAGTTCTTATATTTCACTGTTGATTTTTTATCTAGTTGATTTATCTTTTTGTGACAGTGGGATATTTAGATTCTCCAATACAACTGTATTAGGGCTTATTTGATTTTTTCATGCCTTGTAGTATTTGTTTT